CTCTAATTGATTTTTCTGGCTCTCTATCCCTCTCCCTTCTTCTCTGTAATATATATATATATATATATATATATTTATTTATTTATTTTAGAGCAGAAGGAAGACTTAGAGGGAGAAAGATCAATGATGAGAGAGAATCATTAATTGGCTGCCTCCTGTGTGCCCCCCACTGAGGATTGAGCCCGCAAACCAGTCATGTGCCCATGGCCGGAATCGAACCTGGGACCCTTCAGTCTGCAGGCCGAAGCTCTATCCACTGAAACAAACTGGCTAGGCCTCATTACTTTTTTTTTTTATCATAGTCAATGTTAGCAGTTATTACTGTTCTCTCTCTCTCTCTCACTCTATTTTTTACCCCTCTCTTTTGAAAAATATTTTTTTATTGAATTTAGAATCGAAAGGAGAGGGAGAGAGAGGTAGAAACTCAATCAGGAGAGAGAATCAATGATCAACGACCTCCTGCACACCCCCCACTGGGGATCCAGTCTGAAACCTGCAGTATGTCCTGACTAGGAATCCAACCCTGCCCTCCTGGTTCATAGGTCAGCACTCTACCTCTCAGCCACACTGGCCGGGCTATAATTCTCTCCTTTATCCCAGAGCCTTCTCTGCATTCATTTCATGCAGCCTCCCCAGGTCAGGAAGCTTTCCTTACCTTTAATTAGTGACTTTTAACTACTATAAACACACCTTCTGTGACAGATCAAACTAAAATCTATACTGTGGATTTGTGGGCATGTGTCATCCTCATGTGTCAGTGTTAGAAAACACATCAGAGAATGTTATTGGGGCATAGTGATCTTACTGGATAATTCAGAATACCCCCTAGGTCTAAACCTCTTCTGACACTGTTTTCTTGTTGGCTAACATTGTGAACTCTTCTGGTGACCTCTTGGTAAATGTGTCTTTTTTTTCAGGGACCATTGACCTTCAGGGATGTGGCCATAGATTTCTCTCAGGAGGAATGGGAATGCCTGGACCCAGCTCAGCGGAAATTGTACATGGATGTGATGGTGGAGAACTACAGCAACCTGGTCTCCGTGGGTGAGGATGACTTCCTTCCTGACTTCCTACTCTACCCCTAGGGTTTTGTTTCTTTAATTTTAACATCTCTAAGGGCTTCTGCTTTCTATGGTAAATTCGTGCTCTCAAGGAACAAATTGCACCCTAGCTGATTTGGCTCAGTGGATAGGCTCAGTGGCCTGCAGACTGAAAAGTCCAGGTTTGATTCTGGTCAAGGGCTAATGCCAGGGTTGCGGGCTCACTCCCCAGTAGGGGGCGCAGGAGGCAACATATCAATGATTCTCTTTTTTAATATATTTTATTGATTTTTTTACAGAGAGGAAGGGAGAGGGATAGAGAGTTAGAAACATCAATGAGAAACATCAGTCAGCTGCCTCCTGCACACCCCCTACTGGGGATGTGCCCACAACCCAGGTACATGCCCTTGACCGGAATGGAACCTGGGACCCTTCAGTCCGCAGGCAGACACTCTATCCACTGAGCCAAACCAGTCAGGGGTCAATGATTCTCTCTTATCAGTGATGGCTCTATCTCTCCCTCTCCCTTCCTCTCTGAAAACAATAAAAATATTTGTGTGTTTTTTTTAATAAGGAACAAATTGGGGATTCTTTGGTGTAGTAAAAGGCTTTGTGATGTCTGTGAATTTGGAATTCAGTATTTGCACACATTATGTGTTGTCTAGAGTAATTAAGGTACTATCAGAAAATGATATTCTGGATAATAATTTTCTAGAATATTCTAATATTCTGCCATGTCTTCTGGCCAGAGGACAACCTGGATTGTAAATGGGAAAGCCTCTATTAAAATTCACACTCCATTTTCCTTTATTTTTTAATTTTTAAGATTTTGATTATTTCAGGGAGGAAGGGAGAGTTAGAGGGAGAGAGAAACTTCAGCTGGGCATTAATTGATTTTTTTGTATGTGCCCTGACCAGAGATCAAACCTATAGTTTTGGTATATCGGTACAATCCTCTAAGCAACTGGGCTACCTATGCAGGCAGATTGGATTCTTTCACTCAATTCTATGTACCTAGGCTTCTATCATGTCTTTCCATGGCTTGATGTATTATTTCTTTATAGTAGTGAATGAGACTTCATTGTGTGTCCTTTAGTATATTTATCCATTCACTTGTTGATGGACCTCTGCATTGCTTCTAGTTTTTATGAATTATGAATAAATAGCTCCTTGTAGGCTTTTGTGTAGATAAAAGGCTTAACTCTTTGATTTAATAGTAAGGAGCTGAGTTATAAGTTTTATCGCCTTACATGTCAAATCAAATGAAATCTTTTATTTCAAATGATAGAGCATCATTATAAAAATAGTCTTTTTTTCCCAGTCTGTTATGTTCACTATTGCAAATAGTGCTGCAATGGATATATGGGTGGGTATATCTTTTTGAATTCATGTTCTTTGTATAAATCGCCAGAAATGGAATTACTGTGTTAACTGGTACTTGTTTATGAATATTGGAAAATTCTCCAGCGTGTTTTGTGAGTGGCTGCACGAATCTATATATATCTAAAAGCCTAAGTGACTGTTACACCCTGTCCATCGCATGACCCGATGAACGGTCGCTATGACAATGCACTGACCCCCAGGGGGCAGATGCTCAAAGCAGGAGCTGACTCCTGGTAGTCAGTGCACTTCCACACCCAACCTCCCGCGGCTGGCCCACCTCCCGTGGTCCCTCCCCCTGGCCTGCCTGGTGGTCAGTGCGCCTCCACAGCTAACTGGCCTTGGCTGGCCAATCTCCTGCGGGCCTTTCCACTGACTGGCCGGCCCCAATCGCCCGCCAGTCCGAGGGATCCCTCCCGTGCAAGAATTCGTGCAGTGGGCCTCTAGTGTGTTTATAATCTTGCTGACAGTGCACGAATGTTCTCATTTCTCCACTTCATTGGTGATGCTTGTCGTTTTTTGATTTATGGATAACTGGCATCTTGTTAGGTGTTTGGTAGTATTTCGTGGTGGTGTCCATTTGCATTTCTCTGATGATGAATGAGTTGAACATCATTTAATACTAGTATGTTTATTGTGCATCTTTATGTCCTGTTTGGGAAATGTCTATTCAAGTCCCCTACCCATTTTTCAATCATGTTGTTTGTTCTTTTGGTGTTAAGTTGTGTGAGTTCCTTGTATATTTTGGATCTTTAGCTTTTGAGGATGTAACATTGCTTGCTGGGTTTTTGTGGTGATTGTTATTTTGTGGTTTCTTTTGGTATGCCAAACTTATTCTTTAGTAGTCCCATTTCTTTATTTTTAGCTTCTTTGTTATGTCTAGAAGATATATGCAAACCAGAATTTTTAAGAGTGATGGTAAAGTTCATTGACTGCTTTTTTCCAGTGTTTGCATGGTTTCAGGTCTTCTATATTAGTTGTTCATCCATGCTGAGTTCATTTTGGTTCATGGCCTATGAATGGGGTCTAGTTTTATTGTTTTTGCATGTATCTGTTCCGTTTTTCTAGCACTACTTGGTGAAGAATCTGTCTTTACCTATTGTGTATTCTTGCCTTCTATCTTATAGATTAGTTAACCATATAGCTTTTGACATTTTTTAAAAAAATACATTTTTGATTGATTTCAGAGAGGAAGGGAGAAGGAGAAAGAGATAGAAACATCAATGTTGAGAGAGAATAATTGATTGGCTGCCTCCTGCATGCCCCCTACTGGGGATCAAGCCCACAACCTGTGCATGTGCCCTTGATTGTAATCGAACCTGGGACCCTTCAGTTCGCATGCCGACGCTCTATCCACTGAGGCAAACTGGCTATGGTTAGCTTTGGACATTTTAAAAGTTTTGTTACTTCTTTTTTCATGTTGATTTTTATTTATTTATTTATTTATTTCATTTTATTTTTAAAAAAATATATTTTATTGATTT